GGGGGGGCGGTGTAAATAATAGCTGAGTGAGTCAGGCTCCCACCCCATAAAATGCTTTACAGCCTGGTGGTGGAGAGGATAAGTAATTTTAATACAAAATTACACAAGTAATTGCAATACAAAATATGAAGTAAACAATGCAAAGTATATGCTCTAAATTTAGATCAACACATTGAGAAGTAAATGGTAATTGCCCTTCATGATCTCCACTTGGAGAGTCTGCATTATGAAACACTTGGTTTCCCCCTATTGGAATTCATTACTATTGTCTGCTCACTTTGTGAGTGATAGCTGTTTCAGTTTATAGCCTATATATATATTCCAGAATAAAGAATTTAAATCTAACTTAAACCAGTGACTCTAGACTATGATTAATTTCTTCCGTCCTTTTGTTGACATTTGGCAGTATGGAGAAATCCCTGGTTGTCGCAACTGGGACATCTAGTCGATAGAGACCAGGAGTGACACTAAACATCCTACAAATGCACAGGACAGTTCGAAAGCATGGCATTATGTGGTCCAAGACAGCAATTGTACTGAGATTGAAAAGCCTGTATTAAAGTTATATTGTATTATTTTAATGCCCTTTTTCTTCTTTTGATCATAAAATTAACCCCAGAAGTAGGAAGAGTAATTTGCTGCATTTGACAGATAATGGGACCGGGGTTCCACAGTATGGGACATTCTGATTCACAATCTCCCGTGACCCTTTTTCTTTTTCCCCTGTCAGTCAGTAGAAGGGTGGTCCAGGAACCAATGGCATCATTAGCTTTTTGGGGAACTTTTGAGAAATGCAGATTTCTGGGTCTCCACCCATGCTGCCTAAATCAGAATGTGCATTTTAACAACAATTCCCCTTGGGGTCCTGCACACATAACAGTTTAAGAAGTGCAGTTGCTTTCTGGTCAGAGAACTTTTTGAAGTTGAGATAAATAACTTCAACCTGTATTTCTTAACTGAAGCAGATTCTTTTCAAATGGTGAAGTGTGTACAATTCTACGCCAGTAGTTTTAACTAGAATATTTGTATTAAAAACACCCTTTAAAATACAAATTTATGTACTCCACTCAGCTTCTTCTAGTCTGTCTTCAGAAAGTATATATCACAGGGATTCTGATCAATTCATAACCCTAAGAGTCACTTACATATGGAAAGGTATTTTCTTAGGTCATTTTACTAGTTTCGGTTCTTTAATTGCATTTTTGATATCCTGTAAATTATGGTCCCAGGGAATTTTTGTATCTCAAAAGATGTGTAGCCATACGGTAATAATAAATCATCTAAATTGAGATCTGTACATATTCTTCCTAAGCTTGTTAGTCATTTATGCATGTTTCTTCATATTAGGTTAAACCTGAGAATGCTTTTCAGAGGGTAGGAGACAATTTTAAAACATGTAGATGCAATTGTGACAGAAAGCAAGGTTTAGTTTTCTGTTCATTTTGAAAGTAACTGGTGAAATAAAATACTCTGGCAATAAATTCTAAAAGCATTTGTCTCTTTTTAAGGATAATAAAGCTGATGTAATTTTAAAATACAATGCAGATGAAGCTAGAAGTCTGAAGGCATATGGAGAGCTTCCAGAGCATGGTAATGTCTTTAGTTATAACTTAGGTAACAACTTGTCATGGTGTTATTACCCACTCATATTTAGATAAAAGAAATAATGTAGAATTTTGTGTATTTTCAGCTTATATGATACATAAATACAGTAAAGCTCCCTTCCACTTACTCAGTTTGATTTTGCACGATTTCTAGAGCTCAAACAAGATCCAAAAATATTACATGCAAAGATAATTTTAGAGGACCACATTCACATAAGGTTTATTGTAGTATATCTTAAAGTCATTTATTGTTAATCTTTTATTGTGTCTAATTGAAAAATTGAACTATATAATCATGTATGTAGGGGAAACAAAGGATGTAGGGCTTGCTACTATCCATGGTTTCACACATCCTCTGGGAGCCTTGGGACCTGTCTCCTGCGTGTATTCAGTAGATGCCCCAAAGAAAGAACCAGGGATTCTGTTCCTGGTAAATATATTTTCGGTGAGGACTTAGATTTATAAGCTCCAGGCATAAATTTAATACCAAAGGAATAATTGTGTTATTTAAAGTTACTTTCTCAAGAGTCTGTCCGTGTTCATCTACTTTAAATATGAGGCAAGGATAGTGATTAGGTACTATTGTTGACTTCTAGTAAAAAAATTGTCTTCGGTTCATCATATTCTGTTATCATAGCCCATAAGATTTTTTAAGCCATTGTCTTCCCCCACAAATACAAAAGTTGCACAATCTGAGTGCAAAAAAAATAAAAAGATAAAAGCTTCCCCTCAGTGGAAATTTATTTTACTTTTTTTTTTTTTTATGAGCCTGCTCTTTCTCTTGGCAATTTGGTGGATTTTTGTTGGGGGGTGGGGGGGGCGGGGTTGTCCTGTTGCATAAGGTTATGAAAACACTAAATTGGCTTTAAAATCCCACTGACATAATTTCCTTGTGATCTCCAAGCTAAGAGATGGTAATATACTTGGGAATAGAACTAGCCCTTCCTGGTTTATTTTCATTACTTGAGATAAACATGATTTGACCATTCTTCTGATAGATGAGAGTCTGTATTGTGATTGGCAAGTTGTTGGCATTGTGCTTAACCCTTTCTTTTGAAGCATAGCTAAAAGTTGTAATAGCTTCAGAATTAGTGTAATTAGAGCCTGTCTTTCTAAAAATACCTTTGACTAAAAATTTTAACACAAATAATTTACACCTTGACTTAGCAATGACTATAAGAAATTTAGCTATATTGAATATTGTTCCCTGTGGCGGGGTAGTTAGGTAGAAGTTAGGAAGATCCTTTCTGATAATGAAAATTAGATTAAACTATAGGTTTGGTCTCTCAGGCTCTCCTTTTATAGTTTGTTTTATATCAGGCCAATACTTTTAATGAGCAGTTACTCCTGTTAATGTCACCTTGGTCATTATTTGTTTTTGTTTCCTTAGCAAAAATCAATGAAACTGATACATTTGGTCCTGGAGATGATGATGAAATCCAATTTGATGACATTGGAGATGATGATGAAGACATTGATGATGTAAGTAGATACACCTTGCATTCAACTTTTTTTTTAAGACCTGTTTTATTTTTGCATACAGAGCTGGGTTGTAGGCCAGAGGTCCTGGGAAGGTGGTGAGAGGAATCACCACAGAGTGGGGAGCAAGGCAGGCGAGAGACAGGAGCGGCCTGCGCTATGTGGGTCAGCTCCCTGGCTGGGAATCAAACTTGTGCTGCAGATAACTTCATAGTGTTGAGACTTAGCCCATGTGCCACCAGGGAGGCCCTCATTTTTCAACTTTTGTTGGTGAAATAGCCACAGGGAAACTGACTGTACTCTGACTCGTGGTTACAAGTGTTCATCACTTCAGTGAGGGTTATAATATTTATTTAGAAGACAGTGAGTTAATCTGCTTATACTTTGAGAAATCTTATGTTTTTTAACATTGTTTTCCTAAAAAAATCACTCATTTCTTTGGCATTATGCATGCTAGGCATTCAAGACATGAGTTGTGTAGTTAAGAGTGTCTAAAAAGACAGCTATTATTAGATTTACCAGACAATTGTGAGAAATAGATCTTATCAAAGAAACATACTTTAATTAAAATAATGGTATGTTAAGACTTGTTTGAACCAATTTGATAAAGAGCCTTAAAGTCATATAGTATGCACTGAAAATTGTTAAAATCAAAGCCTTTTGCCAATTATGATATTTTGTTGGATATTCACTATTGGCAAATTCTTGGTTAGGAGTTGCTGTGTTTATTTCGAGAATAAATGCCTCACTGCCCTTCTGCTGCTCTAATATTTAAGTGAAATTTAAACTTAGTTTTTGGCAGTGTAAATTTACTTACAAATTGGATGGCAGTCTGAGTTACTCCTTTTTCTAAGATTATTAACTTTTTTTTTTTTTTTTTTTTCAGAAGACGGCATACGAGATGTCGAGCAGTGACTGGAGTTCAGACGTGTGCTCTTCCGATCTTTTTTACTTGTATCTTTCAGCACAGTTCTTTGTGTGACATTTATATTAATAATTTTCTTTTTTTTTTTTTTTTTTTTTTAAGATTTACTTCTGCATGTGAGCACCAGGGTACAGGCCAGAGGGGTGTGGCAGGGGGTGGCGCACTGCTGAGGAGAGCAGCGAGCAAGACAGGTCTGCTGAGCCATGTGGGTCACTCACTGGTCTGGGGTAGAGCTCACGTGCAGTGGCTGCTGCTGAGGCTTACCCCTTGTGCCACCAGGAAGTCCCCTATTCTTAAGTATGCTGTGGCCCATATCCTCAGGGGTATGAGACAGGTTGAGGAGTTCAGAGAGGGTCAAGATTGTCCAAGAGAAAAAAAAAAATCACGAGGCTCTTGACAGGCTGGCAAGAGATAGCAAAGACAGTGGTTGCTAAAGTAGTTAGCTTGAACATTTGCAATGATTGCTTTATAAGCTGAGAACCCTTCTTTTTCCTGAGATGCTTCTCTAAATACTATATCTGTCTTCTGGCGTTCAAGTCCTATAAACAGGTTGACTTGGAAGAGAACTTAGATTTCTTAACAAAATCATGCCCCATCCTCAAAATAAAAGTCACTCATCACAGGAACAAAAGGTAGAAAGCATTAATCTTTATTAGGAATGTTTTGTATAACAGAACATTCTGAAGATCGTAAAGATTTGTAGGCAGTAGAAGAGAATTGAAAAAAACCTGGTATATAAAATTTCCTCTTCAAACTGGATTTGTTTCAGCCTGAAGGGATAAGAATCTTCCCCCTTAAATGTGAGAGGTGGAGAAATACAAGAATTCTTGTTTGGTGAGGGGAGCCTCCCTGGTAGCAGAAGGGATTAGAGTGCAACAGCACTTTGAAGCTTTCTGCAGCCCCTGCAGCATGAGTTCCATTCCTGGCCAGGGAGTGACCCCCATGGCGCGGCAGACCTCTCCTGTCTCGCTGCTGCTCCCCTCAGCAGTGTGTCTCATTCGATCTGCCTCTTCTGCTCCCCACTCTGTCTCTGGTGAATCCCCTTACTCCCTGTACCACTGGCCTGTTGCCCTGTTCTTATATGCATAAATAAATAGTCTTTTTAAAAAATTCTTGTTTTGTTTGATCTGATGTTCTTTTTCCTTCTAGATCTAAATTGAACTCAACAATTTACATTCCAGTTTTTCTGAGGATTGATCAACTTGGATTTTGACTGTGACCCGTTAAAGAAGATTAAAATTTCATTAGTATAATTTGTTAAAGCAGACTGATTTATTTCTAAGGTATTTGTGTTTCTTTAAAAATCAGTAATGCTGAAAATTCTTTTAAATGTTAAACCCATCTTGTTTTGATGTAATGGAGCTTATGGGTAGTAAACCACATCTGTTATTTTAAAGAAGGAGGAAATAATGCATTACTGCCTTTCCTGCCTTGATCACTTCTAGCAAGTGGATGTTTTGAATAAACCATTTGTCCTACACTCATGAATTATGATTAAGACCTAGTTTTGCAATAACCTATTGACTATACAGTAACTCCTATATTCCATTTATCTAGCTATTCCCTTGAGATCATGATACAGTTTAGGGGGGAGCAGAAGTCTGCAATTGAAGTAAGAAATGATTAGGTCTGAGTTTCGTATTTAAGAAGCATGTGGCTATTTTTTATACTAATTTTGATAACATGTACATTTTTTTCATGATCTTATTTTGCCACTCTAAACATGAAACAGAAAACATTTCCAAAAGGCAGTTTTTAGAGCCTGCGTTTTAAGAGCATTGTTGAATTTGTAAAGTTAGTAGTTACAAATATTGCACACTAGGTGGCTCCCTGTTGACATTGGAAATAATAGTTGGCTTTTTTTTTTTTTTTTTTTTTTTTTGGTTTTTACAGTGCATAGGAAATTTCCCTAACAGGAAAAGATTGTTTTGATCATGTGCATGTGCGTATTTTTCCAGAACAAAAAAATTATGTTAAGTCATGTACATGTAAGCTACATTTGAGTGCTTTGTAAACTTTTAAATTATGTATAAATGAAAGTTAAAGTTCATGACAACCTGTAGAAAAATAAACTTTTTTCAAACTGTCCCTCAGTTGGGCAAAGAAGAAGTGAATAACTTAATAAGATGGTCTCCAAATGAGATGGACAAGCTACAGCTAAGAAATACAATAAAGACATTGTCGTGCTGCAGAGTATATTACACTCTTATTTTGTGTGCCAGGATGTATTTTATTGTGTGTACAAATTTTTTGCTTATATTTTACTGGGAATTTAGAGATTTACCCTTTTTAATAGCAAATGATATTAAGGGCTGGGCTAGTTAGACCTCACTGGCCACTTGAAATTGCATGCAACTCTTAAGAGAAGAGATTCATTATGTAGCATGTAAAACATTTACTCCACTGTTCTCCAGAGAACTTTCTAGTGACTAATACAAAAGGCAATGCACCTTGTTTCAAAAAACAAGCAAATGATTTCAATTTCATGCTTAGAATATCTTCACTCAGTGTGCAAACTCTTAAATCAAAATCTGAGGTACTGTAGAAAATTATTACATTAAAGGATGGATACTAAGAATACACAGTTGGGGTTTTCATGTTCCTTACTCTGTGGAGTTCCTTACCACTGATTTAGGTGGGAGTGTTTGAGACCGTGTTGTTTGGCCGACGTTAGCTCTGTATCTGTGATAGTTCATGGTAGGGGCGGTGCGACTCAAGCATGAGTTTTCCTACTTGCCTCCTCTAACAAAGTTTAGCTACAGGATTCTTTGAAGTTGAAAAGTACAACTATGACTCCAAACGTGTTTGCTAATGATAATTTTTCCTATTGCCTATGTAGTAACAGCCTGGCCTAGTGCTGTTGTATTCTGGAAAATCTCAAATCATAATGATTCAAATGGTTGGGGTACATTTGTAGCTTGTATGCAACACTACTTGGAGGAGTTATTTTACTAACTTGTTTTAATAATGGAGAGTGAATAGTTTTCATTGATGTGATTATATTTCAAATGAGGAACTTGAAATGTTTGGCTTTGGGGGACTTTTTGGTTATACTCTTGATTTCTATAATACAGTGCTATAAGGTATGTTCTGAAAGAAAAGAAAATGTTTGAAATCCAAAAATAATGTTCTTTGTACTAATAGGGTATAGAAGTTATTTCTAGTGGATTTGATAAGGCTGTACTATTCTACTTCTGTTGAGAGTATAAATATGTTGTTACTAAGTGGCTGGAAATCCAAACCAAGCTTTTCTGTAAAAAGACTTGCTTAAGATTTGATTGACTGTTGAGCGAACCTTGAGTATCCAGCCTGTAAAGCGACCACCCCTAAGGGAGTCTGTAAACTGCATGATGAAATTTCTGTACTAAGGTGTGGCCATTGCTTTACTCACCACATCTGTGGAGTTGTGACAAGTGTAGTTGCTTATACAACTTGTGACTTGTAGTTTAACTTAATCTCATCTATCTTGTGTAAATATTAAATTATGGGATATTGAATAACAAATAGATATAAACTGCTGTCAGCAATTGAGTCATTAAATAGGTTTTTTTTTTTAAAGGCATGTTTTAGTTACAGTACCTAGCTGGATTTTATTATGTACATAATAAACAACAACCAGTATTAACTGTGACTTGACATTTAAAGTATCAGAATGAAATTGAGGCTCTTTGTTACCTATCTGTCACAAAGAGTTAAACAAAATTGTATTGCTATGGAATGTTAGCTCTTTATCCTGCATAGTAAGGAACAGTTTCATTGATACTGTTTGGACTTCCATGAACTTTTACACACCACTCTATTTTCTCTAGCCTCTCAGGTACAGAGCAAGCTGAGGAATTTGGAGTGTGTATTGGACTGTGTCCTCTTACCCCAGCTAGCTGCCAGGTACTTGGGAGGCAGTGGGATGGAGTCTTAAAAAATGGGTCATGGGGCCCCATCCCCAACTTGTGCCATTTACTTGCAGGTCATGGGCACCTTCTCCAACTTGTCTGAGCTTCAGGCTCCTCACCTGTAAGCTCACGATGATAAGAAAAGAACCTGCTGAATTTTTGAGGGGATTCATATCTTATGTGTTGATACGTCTGATGCTCTCAGGGCAGCGCCCGCTGCTTTTCGTTGGTCTCCAAGCCTGTCACATGGAATGTATGTGTCTGTCATATTCTCTGTTTACCATTTCTTTTACATGCCTTCTTTGGTTTCTATAATAAAGGAAACATGTGGAATACATATTTGTATATTCGTGTCAACACGATATTTTAAATAATTGCTAGCACCCTCATTTTACTCAGCATGAGACCGACAGATGGAAGTCTTTCAACTGCTTGAAGATGTTTTGCAAAATACCAACTGCTGTTTTGTTAGAGAAAGTTTATAGTTATTAATATTGATAGCTCTGTTCATGTTTCATTCATGTTTTTAATGAGTCCTTTTACAGTCTTTTACTAAAAATTCATGGCAGTAGTAAATACTGACTGATGGAGGTTTCCTTTCCCATTTGGAATTATGTAAGAAATCAGATGCAAACTATTACAGTTAGAAAATAAAATATGAAATAACTTTCACAGTGTATACAATTGATTCTTTTCAGACTTTATAGTGTGTTTAACTACATAAGTTTTTATTCATGGTGAAACTTTTTCTGAAAATCTTAACTTTTAAAAAAACTTGTGATATATGAGTATGTATACTTTGTTTTTGTTTTGGTGGTTTGATCTGTATTGAATGTACTTTACCACATCCCAGATACAGGATTGTCTCTTCTGGGTGAGTGAATTTGTTGCAGACCTGTGCTTGGTGGCATTATTTTCTAATGGTAAATTAGTTGTCCAGAATGATTTAAGATTGCCATTAAGCTCACCTGTACAGAGATACAGGTGCAGTAGATGTTTACTCTTCCAGTCAACTTGCTCAGAGGCCAGGCTTTGTTCTATTCTAGTGCAGATGGTTTTGTTGAGTTTACAACATAACACTGCAGATCCAAAAATGGGAACAAGATCCGAATAAAGACCATTGCTGATTTGATCACTAGACTGTGCATTATAGAATTAGCTGAATTTTGCAGATTCCATAGGTTGCATACATATTCATAATTTTAAATGTCTCTTAGAAATCTTAGCATAATAGGAATTTTCTTACCTTGAGAAAAGTTAGCTACCAAAAGCAAACACAGAAACTCATTATTCAAAAAGCACTGGTATTAAGAATCTCCCCTGAGAAGTAGTAAGCATCGATTCATTAAATTACACCTTGCATTACCCAACTTTTTAAGATTTCATGTGACAAAGCAAGAAGTGCCCCATTCAGTCCTGTACACCGCACAGTATAGAAGAAATTCAAGGAAAAGCATTCAGTTGATTGTGTTGCAGATGGATGTGAACATTGTATCCAGGGATCATCATTTTTGGAAAAAACTGACACTGATTATTCAAATTTGGATTTATGGTCAACATTGTCTCAGAAATGAATGATATAAGCCTCTCCCTTCAAAGGAAGAAGTAACAAAATTTGCCACTGACAAGATTTTCAAGTGAAAATTAAAAGCTTGGGAAAAAGTATTATCTGCCACTATTAGCCTTGACAGCTTCACAGGTAAGAGTTCTCAAGAGTTTGGTGATGGTATTAATGAATGTGACTTGAATACTGTAGGATGAAATGTGTTGACACTTGAAAGATCTTTATAGCCTCAGTGAGCCAATATGTTTCAAACTAATGGTGGATTTTCCTGTAACAGAATGAAAACACAATTCATTGATTTGTGTTAAATTACACATTGCCACTAACCTTTACCAAGTTACCGTTAGTCAAGATCAGTGTGTGGTAGCAAGAACATGCACTGGGAAGCTGCGAATGCATTCCTTGTTCTTGCTGCTGCACACCTCTGAAGCCAGATTGCCTCCCTATGTTCACACCAAACAACTTGTCGCAATGCAATGACTGCAAAAGCGAGAGACTTCCGATAAGCCAGACAGTATAAAGAGATTTGCAGAATATGAAAACAAAGTCACCCATTTCAGGAAGTTTTGTGTTTGTTCCGTTTCATTAATGTTAAAGCATTTTATTGTTGAATTAATATTAAATGTTTTAAAACTTCTAAAGTCAGTATTGATAGTTACAAGCCAAAAGTGAGCTCTGTCATTCCAAGATTTTTTATCTTGGACACCCCTGGAAATCCACGAAAAACAGGCAGCCCAATAGATGGACAAAGTGTATAGGTGACTTACAGAAGAGTAAATTTTTATATAGCTGCAATGGATGTTGCGAACAATTACAAGCAAGGAAATATCTTGTGCAAAATATATAAATGAAAACCGTGCATATATTCACAACACAAAAATACATTGAACAAAGGTGTCCATGGCTAGAGAGAGGAAGTGGAATATAAAGTGAAAAAAACTGGAAGGGTGCTACACCTGTCAGTAAGCCATGAACTCAGGAGTTGGATGACTTAGAAATTATATCCGAAATCAATAAAAAATGAAAACAGCTCCCTTGCCTTTAGTAATTTGGCTCAATTTTATTGGGTTGGAAACAGACTTTTTTACGGGGGGAGGGGGGGGACTTGCCTGCTTTCGTGCTCTCTTGTGCCTCAGCCCTCCAGGCCTTCTCACCAGGTAAGCCCTACTGGGGCACACCTTTGGGAGCATCACGTGTTGGTAACGTTTTTTGTGCCACAAAGGGACTCTTTCCAAGGGTTGTGAGAAAGAATGTGGAAGCCAGTTCCTGGAGGTTTCAGCTTGGTGTTTTTTTGTTTTGTTTTTCTAATTGCGTAATTTACATACCATTAAGTTCAACTGCTTACAATATAGAATTCAATGTTTGTGAGTATACTTTAAGAGTTAGTCACCACTATAACTTAAGTTCTAGAATATTTTTACTATCCCCCCAAAGAAACTACCCTTAGTCAACTTCAGTTGGCTTTGAGTCATGCATTCCTCCCTGGGAGAAATAAAGCGCAGAGGGAGCCGCTGAGGCTGGTGATCCAACAAAGAAATGTGCACCCAGGTCTCTCCTTGTCTGGGTTACACCTGGGCCCGAGGTGCCTGGGTAAACACCTAGAGCCTGAGCTGGCTATGCAAAAAGTCTTCGATCTGTTTTTGAAAAGATGGGAAGTGCCCTTGACGGGGGTAAAAGAATGCCCGGGAGAAAGACAGCCCCACCCCCCATCCTTGCCGATACCCTGCTCCCGGAATAAGACAGCCCCACCCCCCGTTCTTGCCGATACCCTGCTCCTGATGCTACCTGTTTAGCAGTTTCTCCTTTGTCTTCAAAAGGGCAGGGAGAGGGGCACGTCGGAACCCCTAAACCTGCGCGTTCTAAATAGGTTCTGCCATCTGCCTATCAAGAGAAAGCATTTAAGACCTTTAGTGGAAAGGAACTTTAATATAATTAGTAAACAAGATAGAAAAGACAATAGGGTTTCTAAATCAAATACCCAAAGTTACCCATCCCCTTGTGGGTAAAAGTCCTCCCAAATGGGATTGGCCTGAACGCCGCCACAAGTCTAAAGCATCTTCTGGCTGAGACCCATAGAAAAGGGTCAGAAACAAGCCAGACAAGTCTGAGAGGAAAAGTGCAAAATCAAGATAAAACCTGCCATTGGTAACCTCCCTCGGGTCTCTCACCCACATCTTGTCAACCAGTCCAGGACCAAGAAACGAGTCGCTTCTTCAGTTGTCTCGGCTCTCTGCGCCTCCCTCAGGTCTCCTGGCTCTCCATCCTGCTCTCTTCCCCAGTCTCCTCTCTGTCTTCTCCCTGCTCAGCTCCACCCCCTTTGGGTGGGGCAGAGAACCCGAACCTCCCCCTTTTCCTGCGGACCGTCCTGTTATATTCCCAGAGATAGTCCTCGCAGAGATTTCTCAAGTGCGCGTTATTTGCGCCCCAGAACAAGAACCACCAGTGGTTCTGGGGCGGAATCTGCCGGAGTGCGGGCACGGTTGGAAGGCCATCGTCTGCCCCGCCGCATGTGCCTGCCCTTCCTTGAAGGTCGACCAGGCTGGCTTACTGAAGAGCCAACGCCGGTCTAAGGTGAGGGAGACCTAGCGCTCGGAGAAGAGGGATCCAACTGGGAGGAAGGGTGCAGGGCGCAGGGGGTGTGTGCGGCGCTGCACTGGTGTCGCCCTGGCCCAGGTGGCGCCTAGTCCGGAACCGTTTCCTGAGCTCCAGTGCCCAGAAGCTTGTGGACACCTAGCGTGTGGGTGCGAGTCGCAGGACAAGTGCGCGGGGTGAGACGAGCATGCTGGGTGAGTGCGTGTGTGGAGTGGTGTGGGCTGTGCGCACGCTGCGTGGGGATGTGTGCACGCTACGTGCGAGGAACTGCACCTTGTGCTTCCAACGATTTGTGTTGACAGTGCGGGGCGGTGTGTGTGTGTCGCGCTCCTGTGAAGACGTGGTACGTGCGCGCGCCGTGAGAACGAGCGCACCTTACATGTGCAGGCCGGTGTGTTCCCGCAAGTGCACGCGGCGCGCGTGCGCGGCGTGAGAACCTGTGCGCACATCGCACGTGCACGCCGTGTGCGCAGGCCGTGTGAGGACGCGTGCGCGTGCGGACGCGCGCGGTGCCGGTGCGG